CAGTTATTTGTTCTCATTCAGTCCTTGATGCCCTTGATTACCCTCACTGCTCAGAAAACTGCATAACACAGAGATTCTCCTGTCTTCTACAAGATGCTCTTAAGTGTTTAATAGAAGTGTTCATGACCAACAGTCATGCCTATTTTCTCATTCAGGCTGTCTTCTTCATCCACAGGGTGAATCTTTGATACCATATTTTCAGCAATGCCCCTGAGCCCTTCTTTGAACTTCAAGGTGGAACTGATTTGAATATACTGCATGTCTGACACACATCACACACTCCATGTGCATAATTGATAAATATGTCCCTTTCTGACCTGTAACCGCTCATTCCCAACAGAACAGTGCTGAGTAACTCAGATTTGAAGGTGACATAGAAACATGAAAATACATGATCAAAAAAAGTTGCTAAATATGTTTACACTTTCAAATGTCTGCCTAACAGTTAATGCTTGTTTATTGTTTGTTTTCTAGGTTTGAATCAGAAGCATACAATCACATGAGCCATTTATTTTTAAGATATTTTGCAAACAAACAGACAAAATAGAAAACACAACTTGCTTCCACTTTAACAGAAAACCAGTGTGTGGTATTATCCCTTTATTTAATCTGTTTCGATTATGCTTTCCATCTCCTGTATTCTGGCCATTGTGTGGCACTGTAGTGTAGTTGTGACATGCTGCTTTCCCTGCTCTAACTGAGGACTAAAATGGCGGACAGAGAGTAAAGTTACATGTTCTTGGTATTCAACTAAATACACTTTCAGTAAGAGGCTTATGTATTTTTCCATGTACATGTCATTTCTGCGAATCATAATTCAGTAGATGAATCTTTGGTTTTATGATGACTGAGACTCCATTATCATTTATAAACCAAAGGAATTGGTAGGCACATCTGGCACCTACAATATGCATGGCCAAACAGAGACCTCATGCCCTGTTTATGATTTACAGTTGTGTCCTTGATTTCACACAGACAAACACTAGGGAACAGAGAGCTCAGAGACCTAGCCTCTCTCCCAGCCGCACCAGGCTATCGTCTTGCCTGTCTACTGACCTTTTGATATTTCAGTGTTTGTCTTGTGTGTGTGCATGGGCATATGTATGTGTTTCTCAGCAGTCATGCAGCATGTAGACGAGCAGAGGCTGTCTCAGACCATAACACAGTGTGATAGATCAGTGCTCTTACACAATGAAATGAGGCTTAAGTGTTTGATTGATTTCTCATTTACTTTCTTCACCAGTGAACAAAATATGGACAGTGCATGCAGCTGCACCAGGGCTGCTGGTCTGTGGCACTGTGAAGATTGGCCATGTGTCATATTCACGGCATGCTTTTGAGCTGAAATCACCCAACAATCCTCTATGTGAGTATTATGGATCAATGTACAGCAGGCTTCATTAATTTAGTGTGATGTGATGGGGCTGAGTCAGTATATGTGTGAGTATGAATACAGTTAATGCTAACTGTGAATGGCAGGTTAATTTTCAGCTGCTATGGTTTTGTTCACATGTAAGAGAAATCAGCCCAGCTTCAAATATAAATTCCCCAATGCCACAAAAGACATTTGATTCTATTGATCTTCTTCCAATTCTAAATGCAGTCTATATTATAGCAAACCATAAAATTAACACCTGCCATACAGCTGAAACAGCAGAGATCTTTTCCAAATCCAAAGTAATATAAAACTGCATACAACGGCATGCAGCATGGCACAGGACAGGTTATATAAGCTAACAAATTGTCCTTACTGAGACAATATTAGAGCATTTGTTACAAAGATATACATACAAAG